GTTTGAAAGGATATTCATATATTTGATGTTTGTAGACTATTCGGAACCCTCGAAGGAGATTAATTTCCATTTTCAAACATGCTAAACTTAGGAAATATGAAGAAAAAAATGGTATTAAAATATTATAAAATTAATTTAAATATATAAAGTAAATAGGGTAAATTGAAATTAACAAACTACTAAGAGATCAAATGAATAGACGAAGATAAAGAAAAAAAAAAGTATTAAAATATGATTAATTAACTGCTTTTACATGAGAATGGAGATAATATTAAGGGTGTTTATAAGTTTGGTTTAACGAAGAAATTCATTTATCTTTTTATGCACAATATAAAAATAAATAAATAAATAAATAAATAAACTAAAGCTATCAAAATTAGTTTAAAAATTGACCGCGGCCATTAGTTACACGATAAAATGTCTTTAATTGATAGGCAATCAAATATTTATAGGATATTAACATTTATGGTATGACACTCTTTAAGAGTCATGAAATTCAAAATAAAATAAGATAAAAGAATATGAAAGAACCAAGGGAATCTTGGTTGCATATATTACTTTTTCCTTAAACTAATTAACTTATTTTTTACTACGAAAATGACTTATAATAGGTTTTTAAAATGTTTTAGTTTATTTTAATAGGATTTTACGATTAGCTATGAAAATAATTTATATTTAATCATGTTTAAGTAAAATAGAAAAATGCAGCTAGTTGTCTTCACAAGCTCCAAAAAGTAATTACCTACAAATATAAAAGAAAATTTAACTTTTAACACAATTAGAAACACACAGGAAGAAAGTTAGCAATTTATTTTTTTAACAAAGTAATGAGCTGCGTCTTTACATAGTCAAACCTTTAATATGTGTCTTTACGGGTTTTTGATCGGTTCAATTCTTACAACATTATTTGTCCCATCAAACCTAATTATTTTACAAAATTATTTTTATATTAAAATTTGTTAAAAAATAGATTTCAGATTTAAAGGCAATTCTATAAAATCGACTTAAAAAATAAAACAAATGATATAATATATTTAATAAACAAAAAAATTGTATTAGAATCCATAGTTCTAATATTATATTAGAAAATGAATTTTAAATTTTAACCAACAAAATTAATTTATAAAATAAAGTTTACATGTATTTATATATTATAAATTTATTTTACAATTTTGAATAAAATTATTTATTTTAATTTTATTTTTCTAACGAAAAATGTTGAAAGAGAAATTTAAATTATTATAACAAAATCTTGTAAATATGATATGGAAGGAACATGTGATAATGAAAAAAGTTGGACGGTTGGTTTTTACCAATACTTCAAAACCAACTTTGGTAGATGCCATTAAGACTTTATGTGCACATGTTACAGTAACAAAACCTGAAGATTGAGTTATATATAATCAACAACTTTTCTATTAATCAATATGTAATTGGACTAATTAACATGTATTATGAACAAAAACAATATATCATGTGAGAAAATTATAAAAAAAAAAAACATATACGTTCTTAAAATAAACAATCAAATAATTAAGAATAATAAACAAACCTGTGTTTTGCAAGTATTTTCAACACTTGTTTTTGAAAAATATATAAATTGATTAGTTATAAGTGTGTCTGGTAAGATAAAGTATTCACATCTAATAAAAATATTACTAGACCCAAATTCATTCATCTAAGCCCAGATGGCTGAACTGATTGTAATAAACAAATAAATTTTCTCTTTTAAGGTTTATTCGATTGGGGTTTTAAAATATTATTTTGTATAAAAATTGTGATATTTAAAAAAATGTAAACACTATGTATTATAATAATTTTTAGACTGAAACAAAAGGTGGCAGTATTCAACTAAAATTTAAAAACTCAAAAAAATACATAATTATGAGGCATCAAATACTGGAAGATCATAAGTAAGATATATAACTAAATTCAAAGTCATGGTTTAATTAACAGGTTCTCAATCTTACACATGTAGATTGTAATACCTAAATATTATTGTTAATGTTGGAATCCATCAATTTAGTGTGATGTCCATTAGAATACGTTCGATCTTAAATATTATCTTTAATTCAAATAATTAAATTTAAATATGAAAAAATTCTTTATTTACAATTTTCATCTCACTTTCTATAAAAAATTTCTCCCTTTTATCTTCTTTGTTCACATTTCTTTATTTCTTTATTCATCTTTTTTATCTAAACTTTCCTCTTCAATTCTCTTTATTTATTGGTTCAGACTTTTTCATTCATTCATATTAGTCTCTTTCTTAACATTCATTTCCCTTTACTTACTACATTTTATTTTATTTTGTTGAAAAAAAAAATATAGAAACACTTTTTTTTTTAAATTACTTTGATTAACATTTGTCCAATTCAAACAAATTAAATTAATATTAAAATCTTATATGCTACATTAAATAGAAATTTTAATAACAACGCACTATATTGGATTTACCATAACTAACATGTTTTACTTTACCCATAAATTTTACAAAATCATAATCCTTTCTTTTACCTAAAGTTTATTTTTATTAGTTTTTCCTTTTTCCTTTTATATCCTTTATTTCTTGTCCCCTCCATATTCCTCCATCCTTTTTTCTCCACTATACTTTTTCTTTTTTTCGTTTTTTGTCTTCACTTCCTCTAAATTCTATTTTCTTATCATTGTCTTACACATCCAATACCTATTTTCTACCTTTTTTTTTTCCCCTTCTTATTATCCTCCTCCTCTCTCCTCTCTCCTTTACTATACCTCCCCCCTTCTCTTTCTTCTTCCCTTTTCCCTTTTTCCCCCATCCCCTACCGCCCCTCCCTTTCGCTGCAAAAATACGCAGACATTATAAACCAAATAAAGGAAGAGAAAATAGACTAATGAATTGAGCTTGAGGGGAGTTTTTCTTTTTCTCCGTATCTTTTCACACTGATTAAATATTATTAGAATTTTGTAGAGTGAGAAAATATAAGGAAAATACGTCAGAAAAAAAAACGTGAGAAATGTGTTGAAATAAAGATACTAATGGTAGGTCCAAACGAACAATAACTAAATCCACAGTTTTGGTGCAATAAAAGAAGTCCTATTAGAAACAAAACTGAAATATTTTGACCTGAAATTTCCGTCGTCTGATTTTCCGATCAGAGTCTCTGGCATGTGTGCAAGAAGTTTCGGCCCTTGGTTTGATCGGAAGAAGAAAAAACCGTTGGACCAAACCAAGAATTTACGTACGGTCCACACGCAATGGCACAGGGAATCTTCTTTTCCCACCGTTCCCACTTTCTGACCAAATTCTCCATCTTTCATACGTACTAATTAATTTCAACTTTTAAATATTTCATTTATCGTCTCACGTATCAATTATTCATATTCTCAAATTATTATTTTATTTTTATAAAACACATTTATTCGCTTAAATAGTATTTTCAATTTGTAATATAATCAGAAAAGCATATACTTCGCATTATGATACTGAGATTGACCATACGTCTGCGTACAGGTGACGAATTTCAAGTTACTGCACTTTTTTCTTTTACATTTAAAATAGTGTATTGATATACTGGTACCTTCATATGATATTTTTAACTAAGTATGAATGTTATTTGTTTAAAATGGATAGAAGATGGATGGTTTCTCACTAATTTTTGGTAGTGATCTGCAATTATTCAAGGCAAGTTCGATATATGTTTGTTGTAATAAAACGACTTGATGAAATAATACCTCGAGAAGGTGATTGCTGACGAAGATACCAATATTTTTATTTTATTAAAGCTAAGTGTATTATCTTTAATAATCAATTTTACTATTAAAAAATGACTTTGTGTTTAATCACCAGTTATATTTGAGAAAAAAAAATTGTTATGCTACTGAAAAGATGTTATAAAGGAACAAATAAAAAAATATTTAAGCATCAAATTCCTAATCAATCTAATCTATTCGAAAATAGACTAAAACGACTAAATTATACACAAAAAGATTGAGACTTCTCACATGATGAAATTAGATTCACTTTTTTAAACTCATTAGAGCAGTACATGTATGTTGAGTTAGTTATTTTAATTTAATAGTGTCCCATGTTACTCTACATGAAAAGTCATTCTAACTTATGATTAACCTAATTTTGTAATTGATTATGGATAATAACACTGAATAGTTTTTATAAACTTTATTATGATTATTTGGCAACCGTTATTTTTAAGTTGGCATTGTATATATGATTATTTTTGTTATATATATATATAATATATTATATATATATATATATATATATATTATATATTATCATCTGTTTTTGCTTTTTTATAGCATCTCTTTCTTTTGACTCCTTCGGTTTCATAATATATATGTTTTACTATTCAAAGTTTACATTTTGTATTAAAAGTTTTATTGAATCAAATTGATAAGAACTAAGAGTATTGAAAAGAAACACCGTACAGTTATTTTTTACTAATTTTCATTATATACATTTTATTATAAGTCTATGTTATATAATGATATGTTTAATAAATATGAATGAAAGGGGGGTGGTGTTGACTGGGGGGGGGGGGGGGTCGTAATGGTGTGGGGGGTGGTAGTGATATATAATATATATAGTTAATTAAATGTGTTAGAGTTATTATTTTATTAGTTAAAATATTAAATGTGTTAGATTAATCTATAACTAATGATATATATGTCATGAAAAGTTAATTCTGTAAATATTATAAACAATGTTTCAGTTTTATTAAAGATTAAATTAAAAATATTAAATTTAGATAAATAACTTACTGAAGTTATTTAAAAGGGTTATGTTCTTTATATATAAATACATATTCGTATACCTATTTTCTTTCTATTCATCCAAACAAAAATCAAAAGAAAATCTAATATATTTTCAAATACTTTTTATTACTAGTATTATGAAAGTATATAAATATATATATTAAAGTAAGATGCTTTATCATGTTGATGAAGTTGAACTAGTATATAATTAAGTAAATCAATTGAGAGAAAATAAGAGGTGGTTGGAAGGAGGGTTTGTACTTCATCGATAGGATTCACACCTTATGGAGTATACATTCAATAAAAAAATATATAACAAAAAAACAAGGGGAAGGTCTAATACGAAACTATTTAACTCTTGGAAGTGAGTGCTAAGTTGTGTAAATGTGTAACGTTAAAGTTGCATTAAAATTGCAGCTCCATTTTTCTCTACAGTTTTCTATAACTCAATTTATGAAATTCTGGCCTACCCTACAGTAACTAAACTCTTTAAAAACCTAAAGAATCATCCAAAACCATATCCTTTTTTCCTTGTTCTGAAGACAACATTATTCTTTGAACCAATATATCTAATGCCTCCTTCATCCACCAATGCTGACAAACTTCTCTAGCTTCACCAACAGTCATCTACAAAAGATAACCACAAAAAAATAAATTAGAAAAATATGCAAACTACGTATATAATTTAAAAAATAAAATAAAATCAAATAGCATGTGCAACATAGGTATAGACATAAACATACCCAAATTCTTCTCCGTAAATCTTTCTCCGGCCACGTGTCAAGCTGTTCCTTGACAAACATGGGGAACATGTGTCCTTCATAGTATATGCCATGTCTTTTGCTGATGAAATACCACTGCCCCAATTCATGCTGCACGTGAATAACAAAATTATATTAAAGTTTCAATACCAACCAAAGCATAAAAATTTCAAAATGCCTAACATTTTAGACAATACTATTACATACCTCAATAATTCCCAATACTCCTGCTTCTTCAAGAGATTCCCTACAAGCTGCTTCTTCTACAGATTCATCGAGTTCCCATCCTCCCTGTGATTAATTATCAGATAAATGCGATATTAATTAATTAATCAATTAATTAATGAATGTTTCACTAAATTAATTAAACGACCAATAATGAATAATACCTTAGGGAACATGAATCCTTGGCCTTTCTGAGAACTAACGACCAGTACTTCCAATTCGTCACTCATGTTACCATCTACGTCTTCTTTATATCTATAAGGTATGCACCTGAACATTATAAAAACCCAGTCAAGTACACCGAAACAAACAAACAAAACGATGGAGTAATTAATGAACTTGGATCTATTCCGACCCTTTTCAATGCCAAAACAAAAACGGGAAGATCCAAAAAGAAAGTGCGCCACCATGGACCTACCGATCCAGCAACTTTTATAGAAAACGAATTAACCCACGTGAACAATAAAAGCAAACATTTTTGGCAGACGCGACAGGACACAGTACTAGAAACAAAAACGAAGCCACCAAACCAAACTCACCCAACAACTTGGCGGCCACCCATGTTGTTGTACCTCTGCAATTCCCTTCCCGAGCGAGATACCAGGCAGGCCATGTTCGAAATTGGTGGATTTGAAGAGTAAAGTTTGAGGTTGAAGGAAAAGAGAATGAAAGAAGAAAGGAATGAAAATAATGGATATGTGATTATCGATCTGTATATATATATGATTGGTTGGAGACGTAAGAGAATAATAGGTGGAGATGAAGAGTGACAAGAAGGAGAAGCTATATATAGAATAAAGGTTGAGAATTTTTGGTGTTTAATTGTAAGCAATCACATGAAACGCGTAATTGTCTCCTTCCTCGACCCTGATCATCTGTGTTATCTTCAACCAAAAGGAATATATTATTTTTATAATATAGTAATATAATATAAGAATAGAATAATATGGAAAAGTTGTTAATGGACCAAATACTGTATATCGTGTGGAATAAATAAAAATGAAAAGAGGAAGATAAGGAAATGAAGTCAATATTATTAAGTTGCTGCTGCTTACTATATGTATATGGTGTGATGAGATTAGCTAGCAAAAAAGAATATTACTACTTATTGAAGTTTATTTATTGTTTTTTTATAGTAACACAGTCTTCACATTAGAGTCGACACGGAGATTGGTGATTCTGAAGTTGACTTTAGAAACACACGTTTATGCTACATCTATGGCTTCTGACTCTCTGCTATCATAATTGAACAATCATAGTCAGCATTTCACTGTTTATTTTTATTTTTATTTTATATATTTTACTTCCAAAATTAATGTGTATTTTGTTTAAGAGAACGAAAGAGATATAAAAAAAAGTATTTTATATTATTAATTTAAAATAGAATTATAATTTTTTATATAGTAGTTATGAGATTAGCTATGAGGTTTGTCTAAATATCTGCACATAGATAAGATAAAATATTGTTGACAATTTTATGTGGGTTTTACCGTTTATTTGTAAATGGTATGACAACTTGTTTAGTGGATTTAAGATTGATAAATAAGTTAAGATTGTCTCTTACGAATTTTATTTTAGATAATTTTTTTTTTTGTAAATAAGTTTTAAATATTATAACTTACTTTAAGCTTTAATAAGTTGGCAACTTTAAATTTCGACTGAATGTATGCGTTGAAATCTTAATTTTTGTTTTGTTTTATGTTTTGGTTGATTTTAATTCTTTTGAAGAAATTTTAAAATAAATTAAAGGGTTAAATATGTTTTTAGTCCCTAAACTATTTGTTTTTATTTTCTCTTTCAAAGTAAGGTATAAAAAATTAACGTTTTTTTTTAAATAGAATGACTAAAATGCACCCTACTTTGAAAGAGGGACTTAAAAACAAATCCGCTTGATAGTTTAGGGACTAAAAACATATTTAACTCTAAATTAAATAGTGTTTTGTAAACAGGAACAAATATCTAACTCGATTTTAACGAAACAAACAACTAAATATGACTAAAACTTGTTTAAAAAAAGTAATATATTGTTTGTTGAGCAATTGAGTTTAATTAGAAGGATGATTTTGAGATGTTGAATAAGTTTACAAAGCGTATCTTTCCAAAAACAATTTGATGAACATTGTCAATAATTTGCGAAGTTGATATATTAACATGCAAAATGAACAAATCTTGAAAATCAATTGAGGATCGAATATCAAATGAAAATTAATAGTTTTAATCTAATAAGTGTAAAGGAACTACAAATGAAAATAAATTCTACAAGAAAAACGATCAATATAAAATAAGTACTTTAAGACTTTAAGAAAAATAAGTATCGTAAAGCAACTAAAAGAAAAATGGTAACACGTGTTAATAACTTTAATTTAAAAGAAAAGATGAGAAAATAAATAGAGAGAAATTGACAAAAAAAAAACTTGAAAGGTAAAGTGGAATAAGTTGAAATGATAGTAAAAAAATGTATGAAAAAAAGGAAATACATATGTCCCATGTTTTCTTTTCATTTTCTATTTTATTTTTTAATTTAATTTTTATATAATAACAGTATGTCTATTTAGAAAAAAAAAGAGAGTAAATACATAGATTTAGATATTATAATTTAAATAATGAAATGAGAAATGAAAAGTAAATTTAGGTAATTGGAAGATGTGATGAAAAAACAACAGAAGTGAGAGAGAAAATGCAAATACTATGAATGTTATATTATATATGTTTAGTACAGCTGACTTATTGAAATGGTAGTTATCAGTGTATCAATTAGGTGGCGAAAGCTGTCCCGAGACGTTAAGTGTCTTAACAACCAAAACCTAAAATATATTACTATAAAAAATATTGTGAAAATTGACAAACACGTGTAAACAGCTTTATAAAACTGTTAACTCTACATATTATATATATATATATAT